AACATTCTGTGATTCTGTGATTTGGGACCACATTCGCATTTAGATATCTGATGTGCTTTTCTCTTTAAAAGCAGCTTTTGTTTGTAGATCTGGAGGCTTTTGTTAGTCTGCCTTTGATCTCTTTTTACTTGTTGCTCAGTAAATTATCTATTTGTGGAAAAAATGTTACACGTGCTGTCACTGGCCAGCTCAGCGCTTCGGTCTGTGTGACCAAGCCGTGCTGGTGGCCTTATTTTACAAAATGGAAACCCACAGGAAAATGCAGTCTCATTTCCTCCAGTTAGTAGTGTCTGCACCTGTATTAGGCTATACATACTCTGTTTGGAAGATTTCCAAGCTCTGGTGTGTTAACACCACAGGGCACAAATAATAGATATTTTCCTAGAAACAGGTGCTGTAGCTCTGCTTGTCTCCAGTAGGAGGCAGGAGTTGGTCAGATTCTTCCCCTGCCTGCTGCACTGTAATTGCATTATTGTCCTCAAGCGTGTACACAGCAGATGAAAACTTCTGTGCTATATTTCATTTTTTTTGTCCTCTTCAGATGGGAGTAGAAGGCACGGATGAAGGTGCTTCTGGAGCCCAGCACTCTAGGAAGTTAGTCAGCTTTACCCTATCAGGTAAAAAATCAACACTAGTCTGTGTTCCACAAACTACACTTAAAAAAAAATATTGCTGTTTTAAATAGCATCATAGATGAGATGCTCTTCTCCATTAGCCTCCGTAGGAGCACACTCTAGTGGCTTGAAAGGTGTCATTTCTGTAGAGTTCCTGTTTGGTGAAAACAAGCCAGAATCATGAATCTCCAGGAGTGAAAGAACTGGATTTGATGGATCCCAGCATGAAAAATGTGGAGAAATTTCCAGATTGCACAAGAGACAGTTCCTCTTTGATTGAAGGGTGGAAAACTTAGCTTCTAAGGAAAATGCAAGTTGATTACATCACTTTGAAGTAGTAAAAAAGTGATGGCTGCAAATGGTGGCTTACAAAGGGAAAAAGTCTTTACTTGTAACAGAGCTAAGCTGTCACTACAGCAGAAGAGCTGCAGGGGTAGAGCCTACCAGCTTCACTTGTTTTGATCAGTACTTTATTGCACAGGAAGTCTTGTGTGAAACCAAAGCATATTCAGCCTAAGCAGAGACAGAAAAAAATCTGCTTCTCGTATTTGAAGAGCTGACAATGAAAACATTTAGAAAGTGTAGGGGTAGAGCAGAAAAAACAACAACCCTCTTTTGAAATGGCATTTGAGCAGTTATCTTGGATGGAGCTGGTACGTTAAATAGACTTACACAGAGTACTACAAAAATAATTTATTCCTGACTTCTGAAAAACCTGTTGTGTTTAATAGAAGGCTGCGACTCAGCCTAAGGAGCCTCCTCAATTAAATTTGGAAGGTGTTTGGAGTGATGGGTCTGTGATGTATTTCCTGGAGCGTTTTATGGCTGCTCGTTTGCACGTGCAAGGTCGTTGCTTTTAAAGGCAACTACCCTTTATTTCATGTTATTTCTCTTGTGTCGCTCAATTGTGGGCATTTGGTAGGATTATTTTTTTTTTAACTGAATCCACAGGCGTGGTATTTCATTGTAGCACGGTGAATTTTGCCTGCGTGTATAAGCTGCTCATCTGTGTGCGTGCCAGCTGCATTAGAGTCATGAAGACTGCGTGCAGAATATTGAAGTACCTAATGGAGAAAGACAAAGATCTTGTGCTCCAGCAAACCTAAAGAGAAAAATATTTTACAGTTAAGTTTAAAACCTAGTATTATAGAAAAAAGACCTCTTTCTTTTTGTTCTTGTTGAAGCTTGTGCTATCGTTGAAGTCCTTAGGCATGAGAGTATGCCCCTGAGGCAGTTGTTATTGATTGCCGAAAGTTGCAAGGGCTGCAGTATCAAGGCTTCTCTTGGCAGCAAGAAGCATCTACAGAAAACTTTGCCTCCTTTTAGTTGAGAGGGGTTATCTTCTTCCAAGTCAGGAGAAGATGTGCATCATAGTGCAGAGCAACCTTGATCATTATTATCATCATCGAGGTTACGTTTTTCAGAGTCCCAGCTTTGAGAAGGTATGAGTTCACTCCCGTGCAGTTTTTTGTCCTAGCCCCTTCCCTGGAAACAGAGCAAGTACTGTGCAGTGGTTTTATGTGGTTTTTGGTTTTCCTTTTTAAGAGTGGAAATACCTTCCACACTGAGAAAAACATTTGTAGGTGAGCTACAAGTTCATCCTTTTTGTTTTACAAGTGACTGGAGGCTAAAATGTGAATGAGGATGTTGATACCTTGCCTCATATTCTCTTGGGAAAACAGTTGACTTCCTGCTTGAACTGTCGTCTGTACGCTGGATCCAGTTAATGTATGAGTAATTTTAAGTTGCTTTTTTTAGTAGCTTCTGATGAATTGATTTCCTGGGTAATACTTCAGGAATGCACTACTTTGTGAACTAGTTTTAGTTTAGTCAATTCCTTTTTCCTTCCTTGTTTTGCTTGATAGATATTAGAGCGGTTGGACTTAAAAAAGGCATGTTCTTCAACCCGGATCCCTATCTAAAGATGTCCATTCAGCCAGGCAAGAAAAGTACATTTCCTACATTTGCTCATCATGGCCAGGAAAGAAGGTCGACCATCATCAGTAACACCACGAATCCTGTTTGGCACAGAGAGGTAACGTACCCGTTCCCAGAGCTGCCCGCCAGCCGATGCGCTGTACCAGCCTTGTGTTTTCCCTTTGCGCGTTCGTCCTTACTCTCTGAAGGCTGCGAGCTTATTTTGTAGCTGATTGTTTAAACTAACACGGAAACTGTAGGAATTTTAGGATTGCTGGTGTTGCGTAGAAGCAGCTATCATCTGTCTGTTTAAGCTGTGTATTTAAGCTCCGCTGCTGTGAGGTTTTGTTCCCTTCTCTGCTAATAAGAGTTGAACATGCTCAGCAGCCCCATGGATTTCTTGAAATTGCAAAAATAAATTAATTAAAATGGATTACATGTTGGGAAGAGACACTTTTAGAAGAGATACAACAACTGGGTGTTGACGCTCAGCAATTGCAACACCGGTTTGTTTGGGAGTGACGCTCTCGTGGTGCGCAGCAGGCGACGAGGTGTCAGTTCTGTCGGGCGGAGGGAATGCTCCACGACGGGAAGGGAAGCCCCGGGAGGTTCCTCAGCACCCCTTGACAGTTTGGCAGAAGCCGACTTTCCAGATGTGTTTGTTCTGGGCAAGCTGCGCAGATCTCGGAGGAGGAGCCCAGCCCCACAGCTGTCTGCCAGCACCGAAGAGCCCGGCTGTGCCTTTGAAGATAAACGTTTCTGTGGGAGACAAGGTGAAAATACGGGCACGAGTCCATAACCCTGTGAGGAGCAGCAAGCAGCGTTCTTGATCTGCGACCGTGTGATAACGAGTGGGTGCCCAGTACCATGTTTCAAGAATGTTCATGTGTTCTTTAGGAGGACCAGAGAATAGAGCAGACCTGGGAATGTATTCCCACAAATCACGATCAAACCAAACAAGCGGTGAAGCAGAAGAGAGCAGGGCCAGCATTAGCACTGCTCTGCTATGCTCGGTTGTAGGAAATGCTGCAGATGTATGCAAGACTTAAAATCTTTAAAAAACCACAAAGGGAGTTCTCATCTCAAAACGGATTCTTCATCTTTCTGTCTGTCCATCCATCCATCCAGCGTCCTTCCATCTGTCCAGCAGAGAGGAAGAAAATCTACTCCTGCTGTTCCCCCTTTTTCTCCCCCAGTTCTCCTTGGTTTTGCAGCTTGCGTGAGGAGTGATGGTGTTCACTGGGGCACGCGTTGTGTCGGCGTGCTTCAGCTGCCCTGTCTTCCCTGGAGCAGCGCTCTGACAGCAGCTTATGATCCCATTCCGTGTGCTGTCCTGGCAGTGCAGAATTGGTCCAGTTTTACACCTACTCCTTTCTGCAAAATAATTTGCAATTTTGGAGCAAACAGAGGGTGACAAATTTTTAAGTTCAGTTATGACGAGGACCCAACTCCAACAGTTGCCTAGCGTGGGGAAGGGTTTATTCCTAACCCAGTTTAGTGGATGTCTACAGCTGAGGAGTTGTTCCTTCCTTTGTTCCTTGTTCAAGGCATTTTTAGTTATCTCGCCAGATGCATGTTAATTGTTGGACTCAGGCTGCAAAATTTACTCAGTGGTCTTAAAGTAAGTGTAAAACCAGATGACCTCGTTTTTTCTGCGTAGGTTATACCATGCTTTTTCGTTTGTTTATTTGAACTATCTTAAAATGGAGAGGAAAAAATGAAAATACTTAGTTCACGAGGAAATTTGGTACCACCCTGTGTGTATATGTGTGTGTGGCTGCCAGTATGCCCGCTCATGTATTTCCTTGTACGGCTTTTGAATCTTCTGGGCACCCTCAGGCAGACTTGATGGAGTAGCACAGGTATCAAAGATGAAGTGTTCATAAACCTCATGAAAATGGATGCTAGGCTGAAGAGAGTAACTCTGATGGTGTTTCCCCATAGGGAAAGGTGGAAGAGTGATCTCAACAGACATCCGGAAGCCTTTATAAATTAGCACCCTACTTTTTAATGGTCCCAAGGGCAGAAGAAGGTTCTGTTGGAGCTTGCTGAGAAGATCTGTGAACTTTGGGGCAAAAATCTTAGAAAATGAATGCAAAACATGATGTTGGAAGTTCACTAAGCACAGCCTAGAGCGAGGCACTTTCCTCCTTCTGCCTGCATTCACCTGGCTCTACTCTTCTGTAACCTGACAGAACCCAGCAAGGATTTCCTCTCTTTTTGTCTCTACTACCCAAACTGAAGCAAGCACTTTCTCCTGCCTGATGGAGACTTTCTCCTGCTTTTTCATGCCTGATGTAGACCATGAAACTGCTTTTATCCAGCATGGTTTCTTACTGAGCAGTTATTTTCAAGGAACAGTAGGAGTGTGTGCTTCCTGAGGGGCCCGTTACATCTGCAGAAATAACAGTGCTCAAAAAATGGTTATTTTGCAATATGGAAACCAGCGTCGCCAGTCATTGCTGTCAGAGTTCGCTGCACGCTAGTAGTAATGAAGTGCATACTTTTTGAACAAAGGTGTATTGATATGGTGTCAAATATGTTCTTTCCTTCCAGAAATATTCTTTTGTTGCACTTCTAACAGATGTCCTGGAAATTGAGGTTAAAGACAAATTTGCCAAGAGTCGTCCCATCATCAAGCGCTTTCTGGGGAAGCTAACCATCCCAGTTCAGAGACTGCTGGAGAGGCACGCCATCGGGTAAATCAATGCGTCCTTCGTGCTCACGGCCAGGGATCGGGAAGGCTCAGCTTCTGTAGGGTACTGCTGCAGAGCAGCCTTTCTGGCTCGCTTGCACAGACCAGCAAATTTCTTCTGTGTCTGCAGTAAGACATTTAGTCGGAATGTTCATAGCCTTTTCACCTGGCGGGACGATATCACTGTTCTAATGCTGCTCTGAATGCACGTTTGTGTATACGCGTGTCTGTCATTTGTTTTCATCTTAATTTCTTCGCGCAAAAACGTTGCCCTCGCAGAAAACGTTACCCTCTGGCTACCTAGTGAAGAAGCAAGGAGTTCTCGCCGTACTACCTGATTGTGTGCAAATTCTTTAGAAGAAGCATATTTTACTGTCTTACTTCTTTTACCGTTCAAGTAATTTTAATTGTCAGTTTTGTGATCAGAGATTCAGTGCCTGTTTAGCTACTTGGCCAGAACGGCAAGGCTGTGCCTGCTGCTTTTTCAGAGTGCTGGTGGTACCACACAATTAAAATTGCCTTTTGCTATGAATAATGCAGTGATGGGACTCCCACATTCTTTGTTGTGCTGTTTTTTAAAAAATTATTTGTTTTTTTGGGTAGCTGACTGTTCTGGCATGGAGCTGAAAGTCACTTTGAAACATTTAAGATGTTTTATACTTCGTGGTGGTTACTGAAGAGGAACTGTAGTGTGGTCAGATGGATGATGCAAGAGATGCAAAAATACAGCTTCACATTTAAGACAGAGCAGTATTGTAGAGTGTATTGTTTTGTTAACATTTTCTATATGTTACAAATTAGAAAACAGCAGTTCCTTGAAAGACAGTAGGAGGAACTGAATTATTCGGGTGTATTTTGCGTAGGACCTAACTCGAAGTCTGCTGAAGTTAATGCATCTCCATTAACTTTCAAAGGCCTCTAGATGAGGCCCGTGAGGAATAACGGTAAAATAAAATGTGTGTATTCTTCCCTGAACGTTTGAGGGAATGGCAGTGTCAGCACAAAAAGCAGGATATAAACGACTGGCCTCCTTTTCCACAGATATTCCCATCAAAGTAGCAAGTTGCATAAATGGCGAAAATCAAATTCAATTTGAAAACAGTTTTCAGCTTTAAGTTCCCAAAGTGGTGTTTACACTGGTCAGTAAAGTAAGAATAAAATTGTAAGAGTAGCTTGAAATCTTGATGATGTCTTCCAATACAAAATCTATTTTTGAAGAAACAACCCCCCCCAATTTTTTTTTGTAGTGGTATCCAAGAGCAGTTCGGGTGTGTACACAATCGACTTCTTCTAACAAGCGCTTCGTCTTTGAAATTCAACGCGCTGTGATAAGTGGAGCAAGCAGCTTTTTCTACTGAATTTGCACACTGCTGTGCACTCAGAAATTGCACGGCCGGACAGACTGGTTTCAAAACCTAGGTCAGGGTGTGCATTTCCACGCAAAACCCCAAAACGCTTTTCTGGTGTGAGGTCTGGAAGTTAGCCCTCTGCTGTGTTCATCAGTTCTTGGCTGTTTCCTTCAGACCCGTGTTCTGGAAGACGTTTCCTGTTTTCTTCTCTAAACTTCAGTTCAGTGTATTTGATATATCAAATCCTTTTAGGAAAGGAAGAGCTGTATAATAAACATGTAGCATATTTATTATACGCTACGTATAATGTAGGCAATCTAGGTGAGCATTCGGTTGGTTTTGCCGTGCTGCTGTTAGAACTGACATTAAGTCAGTTTTACCTCTTCCTCTGTAATTGATTTGCCCATTTACAGTTTTTGCATGCCAGTCAGTTGCCAGGGTTCCTTTTTACCAGACGGCGTAAAGACAAACGTTTCACCCAAGGAGCAATTAGTGTAGATGCAAAGTAGAAATGTACTAAACAATCGATCAGCTGCTAATTCTCGTCTTTTGTTTTTTGATCAAGCAAGTAAAGCGTCTTTGCTTTCTTCTTTATTGTGACGATGCCAAGGGCAACTGAAATCCTCTTCTGGGTTACCACGTGAACTTGAAAAGTTACGTGAGGGAGGCCCAGGGACTCGCAGCACACACCAGATGCTGCTTCGCCTCACCTTGTCCGCTCAGGACTGGTTTTGCTGAAAGTTAATGTTTGGGTGCAAAGTGCTGCAGCTCACTTCAGTAATGACCTTGCATCTGTTTGAATCCATCAGTCATACTGCAGCAGGAGTGCTCTCAGTAAAGAAGAGGTGTTTATACTGACATACCTTGCTTGGCATAAATAACAGCTGTCCCAGCTGTGCTGAGTGGGGCTGGAGCTGTGAATTCTGGCCGTGCCTCGTAAGAATCTGTAAGTGAATGTGTAGCCTAGAGTCTGATCCTGCTTCTCAAGTTGATACAAATGCTTAATCAAGTCGGGGCCTCACCGAATTTGGTAACTCTGAAGAAGGCATTTGAAGTTAAAGCCAAGCATCAGTAGGTTTTCTAAGGAGTGCAGAAGTGCTTTACTGGAAGAGAACTAAAATGCAAAGTAGCCCTCTGGCAATGCTGTGCATAGGAAAACCACAAGGGGGCAGAAGGTTTTAAAAAACCTGAAAGGTTTTGTTCGTGGTAAAACGTGTTTTGGGGTGGGGGGAGGAGGAGGTCAGGGAGAAAGGGATCCTTTGCAGTTCAGTTTCTTTGGGACTTAAGAGATTGAGGGAGGTATATGAATTGCTGGAGCACAGTCTGTATTTGGAAGTGATGGAAAGTATTTTGTTGGGCTGTTTTATCTGTTGACTAAAGGTGTTTTGCACCATTGTTCATGTTAGTGCTTTTCCATACGAGCCAGAGTATGGGGCTGATTTTAAGAGATTACCTTCTGTCATACTGACTTCTCTGATAAGAGCCTCTGATACAAAATACTGGAAGAGCAAAATGAGTTAAAAACTTTTAAAACAACAGTGTCTTTTTCTCTTTTTCACAGAGACCAAGTTCTCAGCTACAATCTTGGCAGAAGACTCCCAGCCGATCATGTAAGTGGATACCTCCAATTCAAAGTGGAAATCACATCTTCTGTTCACGGAGGTGAGAATTTGCCAGTGATCCGGATCTCCAGAGAGCTCTATGGAGAGAGTTCCTATGTATTTCTGTTTCTGGGATATTCTGTGTTAATATACTTACTCATTTGTGTACAGTGCCTCTATTATAGCATTTTCTGTTAGGATTCAAAGTTTAGATATGTCAGGTACTGCTTTGGAGATGGTAATTCCAAAACACCGACATATCGTAGAGATTCCCCGTATTTTTACATAGCTTTTAAAATTATTTGGCCTATGATTCTCGTGTTATGGGATGGAATGGGTAATTAGATTCCTTGTTTCACTTTGCTCTGTAACACCTGTGGCTGAGAGAAGCAGTTGCAAGTGAGATTCCAGCTGTGCTCTCCTCCGCTGCTAGTGTACGTGCTGGTCGCTCTGTCCTGTCCCCCTCTCAGAGGGCTCTGTCCCGCTTAGAAGTATCTGTTCTGGTCATGAGAATATGTGCTTCCATTAGGTAATTCTGTTATTTCCCTTTTTTCCTCTTCTGAAGGCAACTAGCAGAACACAGCTGGTACAGTTAAATGTTTATCCCATCATCTGTGTCTATTTACGTGTTTATGAACAGCTTGGCAGTGCTTTTAAGTCGTACTCCACACCCCTTAAATTTTCTGCATCCTACAAAATAGTATAGACTTACGCAGAGAAAGTCCTGTAACTGCTGTTAGAACGCTGTAGATGCCTCTATTGTTGTAATTGTGATTTCTTGCCGTAGTTGTCCGATTGAAATAAGCAAACATCTTGAAAGATGCATATTTTTGTATCCCTTCTGTGAGGCAGAGTAGAACGAGCTGTCTGTTGCTGCACTGTGTTTCACATCCAGTCTTCGTGTCTCTGCAGATGCTTCACCTGAAACTGTTGGCACTTTGTTGGGAGTGAACTCTGTCAATGGAGACTTGGGGAGCCCCTCCGATGACGAGGACATGCCAACAGGACATCACGATACCTCCACGGTGTGTTCCAATGGCCCAGTCCTCGAGGAATCTTCTGGAGAAGCAATCTTGAGGCACCCTTTAAGGACTAGTGCAACTCTCGAAACGGACCAGGATGAGTTGACCTCTGGCCTTTCAAGATCATCACCTACCAGAGGTCGCCAGGACTCGCTAAATGACTATCTGGACGCAATAGAACACAACAACCATCCTAGACCCGGGACGTCTGCCTGTGGTGAGCGTCCGCGTGGAGCCTCCCCGAAACTGAGGAGTAGCTTCCCTACTGACACGAGACTTAACGCTATGCTTCACATCGACTCGGACGAGGAGGAGCATGAGCTACATCAAGACCTGGGGTTTCCATCTTCCCTGGAAGACGACGGTGGTTTAGTAATGCTTAATGGTGCTACAAGAAACGTTGAAAGAAATGGTTTAAGTGACTCATCGGAACAGGTAACGCAAGAGCCTGCAGAGACTGAAAATGTTTCAGCCTCTGAAGCTCCCTTGCCACCAGCTGGTGACCAGCAAGAGACTCTCCCAGAGCTTCTGCCGGCGGAGCTAGCAGGAGGTGAGGTCCTGCAGGGTTCTCAGGCAGAAGCCCCAGCAGAGCAGGGTGACAGCGAGGCATGTGGTGCCCAGGAGGCAGAGCAGCCTCCCGGCAGCGCGGATGCTGGAGCTGCCACCGCGGGAAGCAGAAGGGGCGTCAGCGAAACGGAATCCATCGATCAGGGGTCCGAACCTTCCCAGATGTCATCAGAAACCGAGCAGAGCGATCCGGCTCGCACGGAAAGCGTCAGCGAGGCCAGCACCCGGCAAGAAGGGGAGAGTGATGCGGAGGGGGCCGACAGCTCTTGCAATGAGAGCGCGGCGGCACGGCGCCCCTCGGTTGAGATGAGGTGTTCTTCTTTCGATAGCGCCAAGTTTCCTGAGACTCCGGCCTCTTCCTCGCAGGAGGAAGAAGAAGGAGCTTGTGCCACCGATGCAGCTAGAGCTGAGCCAGGTGCTGAAACACGGGATCCTGCAAGTACTTCTGGTTCTCTCCCTGCCGTCCAGTTGCCTCCAGAGGAAGGGCGGGAGGCTGAGGCAGGTGAATTGCAAGAGCGAGAGGAAGCAGAAGAAATTTGGCAAAGGAGAAGCAGCCTGCAGGCGGCAGCTGCCGGTAACCAGTCTCAGGATGAAGAAGTCGAAGGAGCCCAAGCGGCTTGTGAGGGTGCCACAGCGCAGGCTGAAGGAGCTACTGGAGGTAACAACTGCAGGAGGCACTTTCTGAAGTGACCTTTCTGCAGCGGGTAAAAAGTGTTTTAAAAATTAACGTCTGAAGGTGAAAATCTTCATCTCTCAATTTTGTCGTCTTCTGAGATTATACTTTATTTTGTTGTTCCTTTGAGACACTAGGGGGTTTTAATTTGACCAAAAAATCAAACCTGAAGTATCCAAGACAGGCGTATTTTGAAATTGGGTATATTTTAATCCTGAGAGAGTAGTGAGAAGAAGCATGAAGAGGGGGGGTAAGAATTCCGCAATCTTTTCCTGCTTCACTAATCAAAATGGTAATGAGGCGGGACAAAATTTGTATTTAGGTCTTTTCTGTCATATGTTTATATATTAGCATTAAAACATGAGAGTAATCAAAGGAAAAATAAAAAGAATTCGATTTTAGTCACACTTCAGGCTGTTTATCTTCCCTTTCCCAGTTCTTTATCTGTGTAGACACATGCCTGCACAGCCGGAATAGTGGGAGGAAAAGAATGTGTTACTCAAGTTAACACTGTAAAGCTTCTACCAATTGTAAAATTATTTTAACAGTTGAGAATTTTGTGTCTCTGTAAAGTCACCAAAAGTAGGAATGCATCCCTAACAGACTGTTTCCAAGTGTGTCTCACAGCAGATTATCCGCTCAGTTGCTCCAGGTATTGCAGTGGATCTAATCAAGTGGGTTTTTGAATGCACCTTTTTCATGACATTTCAACCGTTTGGGGATTATTCTTTTCTCTTCACAGAGAATTCTCTTTGATTTGGAAAGAAAATTTTTGGTGTTTATTTCGAATACTGTCAATACTTGTTTTGCAGCATTTTGCAGACATTTGGGACTATTTATTAGGCGCCAGGTCATACCATGTTTTGGAGACCTATATGGCTGCAGCAAGTTTCACCTCCCACTTTGTGACACGAAGCTTTCTGCAGGGCCAGGTGGAGCTTTGTCCTTGTCCCTTGCCGGGATATGGCTCAGGCACACGCTGTGGCTTCTGCTGGTCACAGGTAGACACGGCACGTCCACAGAGGGGACATTTTCAGGACCAGGGCTGCAGGGCATTGCAGAGAAAACACTTACATAGAACGGTAGACGTAACTTTTTTTTTTTTAAACAAAAAAATATAGATGGCTATTAAATACATCCTAAAATGTCATAGTCCTGCGAAAGCTTTAGCATGCCTCGCTCACTGTAGCAGCAACACTAGGGGGCTTCCCCACAGGGATGGGAAAAAGTAATTGTGGGTGTTTTGGTTCCAGGTGCTCAAGCCAATGGCCATCAGCCCTTGAGGTCGCTGCCTTCAGTGCGTCAGGACGTCAGCCGGTACCAGAGAGTGGATGAGGCTCTGCCACCAAGTGAGCTTCTTCCTACTTCATCTGGGGGATGAGCTGCCAGTATCTCATCACCTTTTTTTTGTGTTTCGTTGTTTCTGTTTTTGTTTAAATGTGAGAACTGAGAATGAACAGCTGAGAAGTTCTAAGTTGCGGAGTGGCGATGATTTAAGTATCGGTGCTGTTTCGTGAAAAGGGTTGTGCTCAGTCTGAGAACCACCAGGATGTGTTATGGGAGTTGCACCTGGTGTGTACGGACTTGCTAAGTGATATGTGCGGAGAAGCAGGAAGGCGCTTGGAGGAAAAGCATTCAGGCACTCTGAAATCTCTGGATGGTGATGATTTGCAAAGAAATGTAACACATCTTTAATCTCGGCAGATTATGTGAAAGGTGTCTGTGCTCTCCTTGTGTTCTTTGAGGCAACGTGAAGACTTCTTGAATTAAAAATAAACCTAAGTGTTAAGCAACAGTTTCATGAGTCTAAATTGACAGAAGTACCTTGCTCCCAGCTGCTATACTGATTCACTTGCTTAATGTTGGGGCGGTGAAAATCTATTCATTATTAGATATTTCAAGAAGGACGAAAGGACAAAAAAAAAGCTACACAGCTAATAGGCAAGCATGACTTTTAAACAAAAAAGCAAACCCAAAAGTTAAATTCAGACCCACGTAAGTCTGTGGCAGAGGTTTCTGCACAGAACGTTACCTACAGCGAGGAATTTGGTTCGGGGGATAAAATAGCGATAAGCCACCTCTCTTAACCCTTCAGTAAGAAAGTTCTGTGCTGAAGTCATCCTGTAAAGGAGAAATAGAGTCTTGAAGCAATAGATTTAGTTACAAAAGTGACAGAGCTGAAATAAATAACGAAAGAGACCCCAAGCCCTTCATGTTTCATGGTGTTTTATTGCTGCTTAGACTGGGAGGCTCGAATTGACAGCCACGGGCGGATTTTTTACGTGGACCACGTGAACAGGACAACAACGTGGCAGCGACCCACAGCCCCCCCAGCCCCGCAGATCCTCCAGAGGTCCAATTCCATACAGCAAATGGAACAGCTGAATCGCCGGTAAGAACTGCCCTCGTTGTCGGTGAATTAATTGTGTGTTCGCAAAACCGCATTCGCTGTTGTCAGACCGAGGATGAGGGCAGGGTCGCGGTTGCTACTGCAGCTGGCCATAGGGATTTATTTTTATGTGGCTGTCCCTTTTAATTTGCATGTGGGCTTCTAGGGATTTTGTGTTCCACCTGTGTTCAGAACTGTGTGTCAAAAAAAAGTACAAAAGAACCTAATAATGATTTTCAGAAGTTTGAAGTGCGTTAATGCCAAAAGTTGAGGTCAATGTCTGTTAGTCTGCATGGCAGAAAAGATGAGCAATCTCCCTCGGAGCCAGAATTGGATCATAGTTACCATATCCTATATATGAAGTCCAGTTTTCTAACCCTAGGTACCAGAGCATCCGAAGAACCATGACTAACGACAGGCCTGAAGAACATACAAACGCTGTGGATGGAGCTGGAGAGGAAACTGAGTTTCACCACTCGAATGCAGGTTAAAAACGAATATTATTTTTTCCCCATCTCAAAAGGGAGCGCTCATCTCCTGGGTGATTTAATGAGAGTGACATAAGGCAGAACCTAACTCGTGCCCCTGCAATGAAACCATTTGTTTCAGTCGCTGTCTGGTTGAGAGGAAGGTGAAATTCAGAGTATTTTCCTGTCGGTACCTGAGTGTATAAAATATGGGCAGGACATCTGCAGTGAAAAAGTATAAAACTGTGTAGTTTCAGTTGGCCATATTTTGAATCTGTTACTGCATTTGGAAACGGTAAAATGCAGGACTAGAAGGGACTTTGGGCAGTCATTGGCTTCATCTCCCTGCTGAAGATAGATACATGGGATGAGCTGTACCTAAACCACACTTGGCAAATGCTCTCATGGGTCTTACAACACGTTCTCCAGCTGATGGAAGTTCTCTAACTTTTTTTAGCCACTCATGCCGTTTCTCTTACATTCTCAGACCTGTTGCTTCCTAGTCTTTCCTCCTGCCTTGAGTTTTTAGGTCTCCAACTATTTTGTTGGCCTACTCAGGATTGTCTTCCATTGGTCTGCAGCTCCTGAGAGCTATTTCAGAAAATTAAATAAAGCTACGACTCTGCTGCACTGAAGAGATGGCAGGAACATCACGATTCTTACTTACAGCACTGCTTGTACATTCTTGCACAATTATTACTTTTTTTCCCCCCCAATAGCTTGACGCTAACCACCTGTGTTCAGTCTTCGATCTGCTGTGATCAGGTCCAGACCCTGGTGTGCAGATCTGTGGCACAGGTGTCTGTTTGCATTGGTGCAGGTTGCCTACTCCTCCCTGCGCACAGGTCTTTGTGTTTTTTCACGTGTCGCTGTGGTTTCGAATCTCATCCATCCCGCTGTCCCCGCACTGTGGCGTCTCGAGTTACAGCGAGCTCTGTCCTCCCTCACTTTTCCCGTTTCCTCTAACACTTCAAATGCACGTCTTCATTTTCCTCATTCCCTTTTTTCCATAACGTTTGCCCTTCCATATTTAGAATTGTACAGTGTTCCTTTACTCCGCCTTTGTTCTTTTCCTCCTCTTTTTAAAATTTCTTCTTGTTTTTCCCTCAGAGTCTCATTCTCTGCCTGGTAGGTTATGTTTTCTTATATCCATGGTAGCTGTATTCTACGTGATTCTTGTTCATTTGAAGGGGATGTCTGCAAATACTGCGATACGTGAAAGAAAGAAGCTGTGAACTGTAGAGGATGGGATACACTTTAGAGGAAAATCACCGCAGGCCCAATCTGAATTTGCAGTTTTTCAGTTACCTTAAAATATGCATCCGAGTGTCCTACCGATTGTCAAAGTCAATTGAGGGACACAGTTTTAACGTCGTAGCAAATACCACTCATAATGTATTTTCAGTTCCTGGTACTGCTGAAAAACCAGGGCGCTTTTGCAGTTGCTAGGAGAAGACCCGAATGTTTACCGAAAGTTGAAACTTGAAAGGTGCTTCCTTGGCAACCTGTTTCTTACTTACCTAAGCTGCTTAAGTACTGTATCAGTATTTGGGCTGTGTTAATGGCAGAGATTTCTTGTTATTATTGTTTTTATTTATTTACTTTAAAGAAGGAATGAAACATTTTTAAGTGTACAACTACTTTTATATCCATTAGTTAGCATTTACAAAATACAGGTAACGGTGTACCCATGCAGGCTTGCCGCAGCAGCCTTCTCATGTCTTACACACAGGCACAGGTTCGATAACCCAAATAAATGGACGTGGTTTGGTGTTTGATTTTTTTCCCAGTGATTAACAAGCAAAAGTTATTGAACTAAACCCGTGGTACTTTCAGGAACTTCAGTGCTTTGTCAGAAGGAACTCAGGTACACTAGTGTGGAGAACACTTAAATGTGCAGTAGTCGTATACCTGGTGCTTTTCTCGCTTGTTGTTTGCAGTGATGTTCTGGTGATGATTATTACTGGGAGTTTTTGTCATTCCCTTTGCTGTTAGATTTTCGAAGAGAGAATGTGCTGCCTCACTCTACCTCCAGATCCAGACTTACTTTATTGCTCCAGTCTCCCCCTGTGAAATTCCTTATCAGCCCAGAGTTCTTTACAGTGCTGCATTCTAACCCTGTGAGTACAACGTCTACAGCTGAGAGACTTCACTGAGTAGGGGCTGAAAAATGGGGTTGTCTTATGTCCGAAGATACTGCTCGGTGTTCGATGCTAAAGGTGTTGGTAGGACATGGGGTGGCTGGATAAATTCAAACACTCCCCGTCATCCCTTGCAATCAGTGGGCTGTCACTTGTCCCAATTGGCATTATAGCTTCTACAGATTTTATTTTTCACTCAATTCTTTATCTTTCTTATGGTACAAAAACTCGTTTGTTTATCCAAGCAATGGCTTTCTTACTGTGCTTTGCACAGGGTCAGAGATGATTCTGAGAATGAAAATTATACTTGGTTTTTAAGACCACTTTCCCTTTGGGTGATCTGTTTCCCCCAGATTGTCTGGTTTATGTCAAAATGTATGAGAGAACACACTGAACAAAAAAGCATCTTAATATATATTTTCCTTTTCTGTTTTGCCTGCTCTTCATTGCTAATTCTAATATAGTTTATTTAATGTTTGTTTTTCTTTGTCTAATGGCATGTATGTTGTAAACAGAAGTAGTGGAATGTATGATTTACTGTCTGGAAGGACACTTGTTAAT